TCATGCTTAACAAAAGATGTTAAGGAAAGCATCAAATTTAAGGAAGAAAGATATAATTGAGCATAGATTAGTGGAAGCTCAATTAACTCATCTAAATTCAAAGAGCAACAGAGAATGACTGACTTAAAGGTTAATGAGGATGAATAAATTTGAGCATGAGATGAAGCTGACTAGAAATCTTAAAAACAGATAGCAAGAGTTTCTATTGGTATTAAAAGGGAAAAGAGTAAGTGTGGTGAATGTTGGTTCTCTAGACAGGGAGTTATGAATATATAATAAGGAAATGGTAGTTCAAAGTTTTGGCAAAGATCTGTAGCTCCGGTTGTGGGTGAGGTTGTTGATTTGCTTGCCGAGCTGGCTTGTTATCGTTCAGACATTTTGTCACCATGCTGGGTGACATCGTCAGTAGAGCCTCTGATGAAGCGATGTTATTCTACTCTGCTTGGAATTTATATTGTCCGGTCTGTTATAGTGAGTATTATCATTTCTGGTTTTGATCTGCATGGGTTTGTATATGGGGTCCAATTCTACGTGTTTGTTGCTTGCATTATGGGTGGAGAACCATACCTCTAGGAATTCCTGTGCGTGTCCATATTGGGCTTGGGCTACTGTCTGTAGGTGCCTACTAAATGAACAACAATGGGAGGACACAGTACACCCTAACACACTGGCCATACTGCCCCTACATCAAGAACATATCGGAACAACAAGATTCCTAAGACCACTAGAAATCATGGTGGCCCACAGCCACTCTGACAAGCACTTGCAAGGATTAAAGACCCCATTCCCACAACATGCAGAACCAACGTGGTTTACAAAATACCACACAACGACTGCCACAAACATTACATCGGACGGACAGACAGACAGGAAGGAAACTAGCCATCAGAATACACTAACATCAGCTAGCAGCAAAATGGCACAATGAACTCTCCTTAATATCGGTAATTCAGATAATGAAGGCCGTCAGTTTAACTGGGACAATGTAACCGTTATAACCCAAGCCAAACGTAGACACGCACAGGAATTCCTAGAGGCATTGTTCTCCACCCATAATGCAATCAACAAACATGTAGAATTGGACCCCATATACAAACCCATGCAGATCAAAACTGGGAATGACACTACTTGCCATAATGGACCAAACAGTATAAATTCCAAGCAGAGTAGAATAACATCGTTTCATCGGAGGCTGCACTGATGTTTTGTCACCGTGCTAGGTGACATCGTCTGAATGAGAACAAGCCAGCTTGGTGAGCAAGTCAACAACATCAAGGAAATGGTAGATGTAATACATAAAATTTTGCTTCTGTCTTCACCGTAGCAGATACAAAAAAATCCAAGTAATGCCTATAAATCAGGAGGTTGAAGGGAGAAAGAACTTTATTGAAGTCTAGTGTCCAGGGCCTGTTGGACTTTATCCTAGAGTCTTAAAAGAGTTTCCTAATGAGGTAATGTATGCATTGGCATTAACGTTCCAAAATTCACTCAATCCAAGAAAGGTTCCATTGGACTAGAAAGTAGCAATTTTTAAAAATTCATTCATGAGATATGGGCATCCCTTGGTGGTGGGTTACCTTCTTGCACCACTACAGTCCATTTGGTGTCAGTCCAGAGTCTTGAGTTACATCCAGGCAAATGGAGAGTATTCCATCACACACCTGACTTGTGTCTTGTAGATGGTGGACAGGTTTTGGGGGATCAGGAGGTGAGTTACTCACTGCAGGATTCTTTGGCTCTAACCTGCTGTTGTTGCCATAGTATTTATATGGTACCTCCAGCTGCTTATGTGTAAAGCCCCTCCAATCAAGGAAGTGAGGCAGAAAACAGGAAACTATAAGCCAGTTAGCTTAATGTCAGTTGTGGGGAAGGTGTTAGAATTGATTATTAGGCATTTGGAAAAACCTCAGGTAGTCCAGTTCAGTCTTTGGTCTATGGTAATCCCAAGTATGTCGATTAGTGGGAGTTTAGTGATGGTAATGCCATTGAATGACAAGGGCCAATGCTCTCTGGTAGATGGTCATAGCCTGGCATGTATAGCATGAATGTTACTTGCCACTTGTCAGCCCAAACCTGAACATTGTCTGCTACGTTTGGGCATGGACTTCTTCAGTATCTGAGGAGTCTTGAATGGTGCTGAACGTTGTGTAATTATCAGCAAGCATACATACTTCAGACATTATGATGGATGGAGGGTCAGTGATGAAGCAGCTGAAGATGATTGGACCTAGGACACTACTCTGAGGAACTCCTGCAGAGATGTCCTGGAGCTGAGATGATTGACCTCCAACCACCTAAGCATCTTCTTTTGTATCAGGTGTGGCTCCAACCAGCAGAGTACTGCCTTAGTGCTGCAATATATTGTCAGTTTATACCCTGTACTTTAGTTTCTGCAATAGGACTGAAGGCCACTATGAAATGCCTTTAGATTAGATGCTGAACCACACAACCTTTTCACCCAGGGACGAGAATACTCCTGACTAATCCACGCTGTTATAAACAGCTAGTTTTACCCTCGATTCTGTTAGGATGAGAGTATTTGTTACTGCTTTGGGTGTCAAAAATGGGAAGGATTCAGGATTCCAGGCATTGGCAGCACTTATCTCAACCTTAAAAATAAATTTCCAAGAGCCACAGACTCTCATATCTTGTGAGATTTGAATATAAGTGCTTTGTTGTAACAAGATCTTCATAACTGTATCAAGTTATCCAGATTCTTTTTAATATTTGGGGATAGGGGAGAGAATGTTCTGAATGTGTGTGTGAGACTAAAAGTTGTCACGAATATTTCTTGCTCAAGTGAACTCCGTACATGTGGGAGTGCATTTTGAAAACTGCAGTGCAAGTGCTGGACAACCTCACCGTATATGGTGCAGAACAGCCGAAAGTAAAAACATCCACTGTAGGAATTTGAGGCAAAGTATCCCAGGCTTACATATTATAGCCTCACCTGCACTTTAAAAGTGGGGAGTGCAAAGTTCCTTCTTTAATTTAGCTGAGATGGAGAAGGGAGCCAGACCATTTTACCTTTCTGCTGCATTGTTATACACAAAGGGTAAACAGACCCACCTAGCTCAATTAAAAGGCAAATGGACCATTTAGACCTTGAGTTTAATTGGACATTCAACATTCTAGTGACGATTGTGTTATTGAGGAGTTTTTCAAGAATGTGAACAAACTGTTGCCAAAATCCATTTTCAGCTCAAGCGTTTGGTTCAGTACTGCTCACCCTTTGCAGTTAGGCTTACTCTCATTCCTCTCAGGCAGTTTTTGGCAGATTCAACACAGCAATATTTTAATATCGGATTTAGTGTCCTGTTTTAGTAGGATGACAGCTGAGGGTGCCAGTTATTTGTGAACTATTGTCAACACTCAATTGTACTGATAATTGGTAACCCCTCGGTTTTAACATGCTTATCGTTGTTTTTGAATACTCCCATGGCCTCACTCCCTCCTTAAATCTCCTCCAATATCCCTGATTTTCCATACTGTATCATTGATAGCAGTATCATCACTGTTTTGATTTCAAGGTGAATCACTGCCTAGCAGAGTATTGTTGCTGGAATCCAAGTGATGTTCTGGGGACCTGGTTTAGATCCCATCACAGCAGATTCAAAGACAACTATTTTTTTAAAGTCTGAAATGATTACACCTAATTCTGACTGTAAATCCATTGTTGCAAAGATCCATCTAGTTCACTAATGTCCTTTAGGGAAGGAAACTACCTACTTGTGATTCTAGCCCCACCGCAATTGTACATGAAGATTAAAGTCTCCTATAATTATTACATTGCCTTTTTTCACAATATCCAATTATTTCTTGTTTAATGCTCTGTTCAGTAGAATAATGGGGAAAGCAATGGCATAGTGGTCGAGTCAATGGACTCGTAACTCAGAACCCTAGGTTAATGCTCTGGGGACATAGGTTTAAATCCCAAGGTGGCAGCTGGTGAAATTTGAATTCCATAAAAATCTGGAATAAAAAGTTAGCCAGTGGTAACCATGTTGATTGTTGTAAAACAAAAATGCATCTGTTAAGGGAAGGAAATCTGCTGTTATTACCCAGTCTGGCCTAAATGGAGATTCCAGGTCCACAGCAATAGGGTCAACTCTTAAATGTGCTGGTCAACTCAGGTACCATTTAATGATGGCCTTACCAGTGACACCCTTATCCCATGAATGAATTGGAAACAAATAATTACTGTTCAACAGCCTGTAAATGACATCCACCAATGTTTTCTTGACTCACATCCTCTCAATACTGATTCTACTTCATGATCTTCTGAAGCAAGATGCTAACATGCTTACATCTTTTTTATCATACTTTACTATCAAGCCCACTCCTCCTCTTTTGACATTTTGTCTATCGTACTGAAATATTTTATAGTCTGGAATGTTTCTTTTCCAACCTTTATCCGCTTGTGATTATGATGTGGAGGTGCCGGTGTTGGACTGGGGTGGGACAAGGTCAGAAGTCAACCACACCAGGTTATAGTCCAACAGGTTTATTTGAAATCATGAGCTTTCAGAGCGTAGCCCCTTTGTCAGGTGAAGTAAGAGAGCTTGTGATTTCAAATAAGTCTGTTGGACTATAACCTGGTGCTGTGTGACTTCTGACTTTATCCCTTGTAATCATGCCTTGATAATGGTAATTCCATCTATATCATTTTTTCTATTTGTTCCCTCTATCTTATCGCAGATGTTTCAAGCATGCAAAAGAACCTTACATTTGAATTTTTTGAGTTCTGTTCATGGTACTTTTTTTTTGGTTGAGTATTCTGTCTCTTCCTGCTTGGGTTTGCCCACATTGGAATGCCTCAGTCTTTCTCTTTAGATTTCTAAATCTCCCATCACCAAAAGTTTGCCCCTGTTTCACAACCCTGTTCATTTGAAACCCTGTCCACAGCCATCGTTATACAAGTGTGAATACAATAGATGTGATTTGTCATTAAAAGAATGATGTGCATCATCTTAACACTTTGAAGTTTTGTTTTAATGTAGGTGGGGACCAGGGTTTATTGAACAGCTTCTACAGCAACTGGGCAACGGCAGACATCAATAAGCATCTACCTTTCATTTACAACCTCAGCAGTGTTGCAGTCTATTCTTACCTTCCTGCTTTCAAACAGTAAGTACGTACAGAGTAATGTCTTCAAAAGAAAACTCAAACATGATGGTGGACTCAACGGTAGCTTTATAAAGAGAGCCAGATAAGAAACGAGAGGGCAACATTTGCGGAGTGATGGGGAAAGGGTAGGGCTAGCTATTCTGCTTTTGCATAGAGGCTAAATGGGCCAATCAGCATCCTTCTTTAATGTAACCGTACTATATCTCTATATTTCAGTTGTTTGACAAGAATAATTGTTCTTTGTACGGAGAGAGCCACTTGCTGTTAAGCCCTGATCCCTCTCTTGGTCACAGTTTAGAAAATCCACTCCATTTAGAATCCTGAAAGAATGCGCAAGAGTGTGATGCGTTGAGACTTCTACACCATTCAACATGACCATGTCATGACATTAGGCTCCAACTCCTGCCCATTTCCCATGCTCCTCAATTCCCTGAGAGACCAGAAATCTCTCTGTCCCAACCTTAAACATATTCAGTGACAGCATGCACAACCCTCTGGAAATTCACAGCCCTTGGAGAGAGGAAACTTCACATCCCATTCGGAAGTGATCAGAATCCTTGTCCTAAAACAGTGACCCCTCCCTATATTAGTCTGTCCTTTAACCTCTTCAACCAAAGACTCTCAGTCTCTCTAGCCCGGGAACAACAGTTTTGTCTGATACAGGAATGGAATGATATGCATTTGTCTTGTGCCTTTTGTGACCTCAGGATGAGATCCCTGCTTCTGTCCTAAAATCATGGATATTACAATGGAGAGGAGACAGATTAAACTGCATCAGTCTGTCCTGACGTTGTTACTGGAGTTAATCGCTTCTTACTGACCTTAAATTAGGAATAACATTATGACAGTAAGAATTCTTTTAAAGTGGAATGCGGAATTTGTTAATATTGGGACACCAGCTAGACATCAGGTTTGTTCATCAATTCACATGTGTAGATGGGTCTTTGGGTACAACGGTTGTAGATTGGGAAAGATTTGAAACTAAGCAATTTGAAAATGGAAGTGGAGAATTTAAGGAAGAGACTCAATCCACTGAACATGTCTGGTATAATGTGATGTAAATTAATATTCCAATGTGACTATTTGTTTCTTCTTTCCTTAAACCTGTAAAGTTCTGAGATGGCTAGACAGGGTAAACACAGGAGAGATGTTTCTCATGACCAGGGAATCTAGAACCAGTCTAGAATAAGCAGTAGAATAGAATAAGCAGTAGGTCTTTTTTCACTGAGATGAGGTGGGCGCATGGAATGTGCTGCCAGCAGTGGTAGTGGAGTCAGATACTTTAGAGACATTTAAGTAACTCTTGGATAGGCACATGGATGATAGTATAATGTAGGGTATGCAGGGTAGTTTGATCTTAGTAGGATAATAGATTGGCACAATATTGTGGACTGTGCTGTATTGTTCTATGAGGAGAAACCTCTTTAGCCAGAGAACATAAACATATAGAACACAGAACAGTACAGCACAGTACAGGCCCTTTGGCCCACAATGTTGTGCCGAACTTTTACCCTAATCCTAAGGTCTATCTAACCTCCACCCCTACCTTATACTATCATCCATATGCCTATCTAATAGCCGCTTAAATGCCCCCTAATGAGGCCGACTCCACTACCCTGTCCAGGAATGCATTCCACGCCCCAACCACTCTCTGAGTAAAGAACCTACCTCTGACATCTCCCCTGTATCTACCTCCACCCACTTGAAAACTATGCCCCCTCCTAAGAGCTACCTCCACCCTAGGAAAAAGTCTCTGGCTATCCACTCTATCTATACCTCTGATCATTTTGTATACCTCTATCAAGTCACCTCTCATCCTTCGTCGTTCTAAAGAGAAAAGCCCTAGCTCTCTCAACCTTTCCTCATAAGATCTTCCCTCCATTCCAGGCACCATCCTGGTAAATCTCCTCTGCACCTTTTCCAATGCCTCCACATCTTTCCTGTAATGAGGTGACCAGAACTGGACACAATACTCCAGATGTGGCCGAACCAGGCTTTTGTATAGCTGGAGCATAACTTCACGGCTCTTGAACGCAATCCCTCTATTAATGAAAGCTAACACACCATACGCCTTCTTAACAACTCTATCCACCTGGGTGGCAGCTTTCAGGGAACTGTGAACATGAACCCCAAGATCCCTCTGCTCTTCCACACTGCCAAGAATCTTTCTGTTAACCCTGTATTCTGATTTCAAGTTTGTCCTTCCAAAATGAATCACCTCATACTTTTCAGGGTTAAACTCCATCTGCCACTTCTCAGCCTAGCTCTGCATTCTATCAACATCCCTTTGTAACCTAGAACAGCCCTCCGCACTGTCCACAATGCGACCCACCTTCGTATCATCCGCGAACTTGATAATCCACCCTTCCACTCCTTCATCCAAATCATGTACAAAAATCACAAATAGAAGAGGACCCAGGACAGATCCTTGCGGTACACCACTCGTAACTGAGCACCATGTTGAATATTTTCCATCCACTACCATCCTTTGTCTTCTAAGGATCAGCCAATTCTGAATCCGATCTGCCACATTTCCCCCTATCCCATGCCTCTTTACCTTCTGCATGGGCCTACTATGGGGAACCTTATCAAACACCTTACTTAAATCCATGTATACCACATCCACTGCTCTACCTTGATCCACGTGTTTGGTCACCTCTTCAAAGAATTCAATAAGGTTTGTGAGGCATGATCTACCCAAAGAGAGTGATGAGCCTGTGGAATTCTCTGCCACAAAGTGGCTGAGGCCAAAGATATTAGATATTTTCAAGCGGCGTTAGATATGGTTCTTAGGACTAAAGGAATCAAAGGGTGTGGTGAGAAAGCAGGGGGAACAGGGTACAGAGTTGGATGGTCAGCCATGGTTATATTGAATGATGGAACAGGCTCGAAGGGCCGAATGGCCTACTCTTGCTCCTCTTTCCTGTGTTTCTGTGTTTATTCTTTCATGGGATGTGGGCGTCGCTGGTAAAGCTTGCATTTGTTTCCCGTTCCAATTGCTGTTGAGTTGAGTGGCTTCCTCGACTATTTCAGGGGACACTCAAATGAGCCACATTGCTGTGGGTGTGGAGTCACATGTAGGCCAGTGCAGGTAAGGATGGCAGATTCCATTCCCTAAAGGACTTGAGTGAACCGGATGGGTTTTTACAACAATCGATGATAGATTCATGACACCATTACTGAGCTCTGGCAATGCTGTTCATTTAAATAGTGAAAATTGGATTTACATGTGAAATCAGTTGTTTTAGGATCACTGATTGAGTAACTTGAGTTTGTGGAACTGGCAGTGGCAGATCTAGTGTAGCTTTTGCTGAGCCACAGTTTTCAGGCCTTTTTTATGTTTGACAGTGGATTAATCCTGCCTGAAAATGTTATCCCATAACGGTGTGAGCTAAAGTTGAAGTCAACAACTTCCATGGATCCACTGAGAGAGCACATTAAAAATAGCAAGCTTATTTATAGATCACGCTGTGAATGAAGCTCTTGAGGATGACGCTAAACAAAGATGTCCCTTCAATTTCCAGTTTGGCCTACAGGAACCCAACCCCAAATCACCAAGCTGTCACAGTGGCATCAATTTTTTTGTGTACACATCATCTTCACTTCAGGAGCAAAATGACTGAAGTACACTGGGCCTTGTCCTTATCATAGAATCTCTACTGTATGGAAGCAAGCCATTTGGCCCATCAAGTCCACACAGACCCTCCAAAGACATCCCACCCAGACTCACCCCCACCCTATCCCTGTAACACTGCATTTCCTTGGCTAACCCACCTAGCCTGCACACTACGGGCAATTTAGCATGGCCAGATCACCTAGCCTGCGCGTCTTTGGACTGTGGGAGGAAACTGGAGCACCCGGAGGAAACCCACGCAGACACAGGGAGAATGTGCAAACTCCACACAGACAGTCGCCCGAGGGTGGGATCGAACCCACGTCCCTGGCGCTGTGAGGTAGCAGTGCTAACCACTGAGCCACCCCGAAAATATGCAAGATCAGAAAATGTAGTCGGCAAGATCCAAACCCGCACACTGACACACCAATGGATTTCTAACCCATCGCTTTATCCACTGGGCCACAACTAGAGACCCATATATTTCTTGTCCCAGGACGATTAACAAGTCATAGACTAGTCCCATTGTTTGGTAGGTTATGCCTCACTCTGGTAGGCTAGAGCACTGGAAATCAAGCTACATGCTTCCAAGAGTTTTCACTAAACTTAAAAGCTCATCGAAAACTATGACCTCTCATTTTAGGTTGCCCAAAGGGGAAACATCTGCTCTATTGGCTGACCTACTTTGTCAGGCCCCTCCAGTATCTTATTTACCTGCTTATACCCTCTCATTCTTCTAAACTTTAGCAAGTGTGGACTAAAACTACGCGATCAAAGACCTGCTGCTTTCTGCCAAACTGCATGATTGTACTAAGGCACAGTGAGCTTTCTTCTAGAGAGTCCGTTCACATGTCGCCCATTTCTTCATCAAGCTCTGATGGAGCTTGAGCTCAATGGTCCTGTATCAGCCCTCAGAACACAAAGGAGCAGAAGGCAAATTTGCCCCTAAAATACCTGGGAAAATCAGCGGGAGCTGGAAGTTGAATAGACAGAACCTATGATGAGCTACTCACAGAGTCATAGAGATATACAGCACGGAAACAGACCCCTCAGTCCAACTCATCCATGCCGAACAGATATCCTATATAAATCTAGACCCATTCCTCTAAACCCTTCCTATTCATATACCCATCCAGATGCCTTTTAAATATTGTAATTCTACCAGTCTCCACCACTTCCTCTGGCAGCTCATTCCATACACACACCACCCTCTGTGAAAAAGTTACCCCTCAGGTCCCTTTTAAATCTTTCTCCTCTCAACTTAAACCTATGCCCTCTAGTTTTGGACTCTCCCACCCCAGAGAAAAGACCTTGCCTATTCACCCTATCCATGCCCCTCATGATTTTATAAACCTCTGTAAAGTCACCCTAGCCTATTCAGCCTCTCTGTATAAACCCTCCAACTATGGCAACATCCTTATAAATCTTTTCTGAACCCTTTCTAGTTTCATAACATCCTTCCTATAGCAGGGAAACCAGAACTGCATACAGTATTCCAGTAGTGGCCTCACCAGTGTCCTGTACAGCTGCAACATGACCTCCCAACTCCTGTACTCAATGCACTGACCAATAAAGGCAAGCGTACCAAATGCCTTCTTCACTATCCTATCTACCTGCGACTCCACTTTCAAGGAACTATGAACCTGCACTCCAAGGTGTCTTTGTTCAGCAACACTCCCCAGGACCTTACCATTAAGTTGATTTGTCTTTCCAAAATGCAGCATCTCACATTTATCTAAATTAAACTCCATCTACCACTCCTCAGTCCATTGGCCCATCTGACCAAGATGCCGTTGTACTCTGAGATAACCTTCTTCGCTGTCCACTACACCTCCAATTTTGGTGTCACCTGCAAACTTATAACCATACCTCTTATCCCTTCAATCATAGGCTCAATATGTTCCATGCTTTCTAGTGATAGGCTCATGACTGATCCTATTAGGGGAAAGCATGGGGCTGCCCCTGCCTGTGATTGGGGGATCAGTGAGATACATGGCACCTTTGGGGGTTATGGGGCGAGAGGAGAGCGAGATTGAGGAGGAGTTTGCAGTTGATGGGAAGACAGAAGGGGCAGTTTGCAGGAGGGGAAAGAGGGAGAGATGGGGTCACTGAGCATTGGGAATGAACAGAGAGGGGATACTGTAAGGGTTAGATGTGGAAAGAGAGAGAAAAAAATGCTGAGAAGAATTGAGGAGGAAGAGAGAGACAGAGGAGAGGTTGCAAGACTGAGAACAGGGAGGGAGGCTAGATCAAAAAGGGAAGCTACAAGGAGAAAAGGGAGAGCCAGGGAGGCTGCAAAGGTTTGGTGAGAGGGACGAAAGTTGGGGAAAAGGAAAGGAGTCTGTAAAGAAAGTGAACAGTTTTAGATGAAACAAGTTAAAAACAAAGAGATTCTTCCACCCAAGAGCCAGGAAATGTGTAAATTGCTGAGGCAGTGAATTCCTTGAACATTAACATGAAGTCTCTAGCTTAAGGCTGAATGGGTTCAGGATTTACCACAGGGACTATGGACAAGTGGGGTATGGGGAACGTACTGGATTTGGTTGTAACATACATCATCAATTGTTAAACTTAATTCTGAGATTGTGATTTGGATGCATTGAAAACGTTAGGAACTGCCTGGTTAAAATCTTCCAGCTTTGTACATACATGATGGAAATGGTATTGGCTGTGACCTGTGTGGTTACAGTGATGGTTTTTAGCATGTAGAAGTGTCAGTCATTTTGAAAAAAAACTTTTTGTTCTTATGCCTGTTGTCTTGTACTAATTTACATACTGTGGTTACAGCTAGTTAATGATTTCATTGGGTTTTTGAGTAGTGACATAAAACTGGGAAGGCAAGTGGTGAGGATGACACAGGGGTCTACAAACAGGAAATAGACATAAGTGAGTGGGCTAAAATTTGGCAGATGGAATATAATGTGGTAAAATGTAAGGTTGTACATTTTGGCAGGAAAAATGTGATAATTGAACATTATTTAAATGTGGAAATGCAGAACTTTGCAGATCAGAGGAAAAGTACAAAATAGGGATGTCTTTCTGATACTACACAAAGCACCAGTTGGACCATAGCTGGAATACTGTGAATAGTTTTGGTCCCCTTACCCAAGGAAAGATATACTGGCAGTACAGAAAAGGTTCACTAAGTTGATCCCAAGTATAGAGGTGTTATTTTATGAAGAAAGGTTGGGTAGGTTTGTACACATTGGAGTTTAGAGGAATGAGAGGCAACCTTATTGAAAATTATAAGATTCTTAGGGGGCTATACAAAGAGATTCTTTCCATTTGTGGGATAGTCCAGGACCAGAGGGTACAATCTCAGAGCAAAGGGTTGCCCTTTAAGACAGTCATTGTGATTTATTTTCTCTGAGGAGAGTGGAATTCTTTACCACAAAAGACTGTGGAGGCTGGGTCATGAAGGAGATACAAGGCTGAGAGAGTTTTTAATCAAGAAGGGAATCATGGGTGATGGGGTAAAGGCAGGAAAGTGGACTTGATGGAATATGCGATCAGCCCTAACCTAGTTGATTGAGGCAATGGGCCGAATGGCCTACTTCTGCTCTTGAGGTCTTAAAGTTTATTAATTGCCCATCAGTTCACTTCCTTTAGGGAAGGAAACTGCCATCCTTACCTGGTCTGGCCTACATGTGACTTCAGACCCACAGCAATGTGGTCGACTCTTAACTGCCCTCTGGGCAATTAGGGATGGGCAATAAATGCTGGCCTAGCCAGAGACGCCCTCATCCTATGAATGATTAAAGAAAAAGACGATTATTGAGGATAGTGATGAATTATTCTAATTCTGTTTCTGTGTCAGTCCCAAATAACCCATATGTCAACACAAGTATAAATGTGGCCATTATTTGATTGCAACAAATGAGTTATTGAGAAAGAAAAAATAGACCCTGAAAATCAAAATATAGCCCTTGAGAAAATCTAAGGAAACATCCTTGGGGCATAAAAAATACTTTCATCCCTGTTGCTAATTCTGAAGTGAAACGAGGGGAGTGTTAAAGGGAGTTGGGTGGGAGAGGGATAAATAAGGGGCTGTGAAACAGGAGAAACACCAGGTCTCATAATTCCTCTCCCTGGCCTAGACCCAGAACATGTCTCTAGTGCCCTTTACTCAACTTTGTCCCAGTAGGAAGGTATTCCTCAGAGAAAATGCTCAAGACAGTTGTCTGGACTAATGCTTACGATTTTGGTTTGAACCTCCTTAGCAGAATGAGTTATTCCTTCTACTTAGTTGGCTGGATGGCTGTTTTACCAGGCAGTGTGATGCCAACAGGTTAAATTCCCATACCGGCTCAGATTACCATGATGGACTGTTCTTCTCAACCTCTTCCCTCGCCTGAGGCACAGTGACCCTCAGCTTAAACCAGCACCAGTCGTCTCTCTCTGTCTCTAACGAGAGAGCAGCCGTATGGACTGGTCGGACTATGGTGACATTACTTTTTACCGTTTATTCCTTCTCATGCTTAAGGGATAACCAATAAGCCTCACTGACAACATTACTAATCCGTTGAGGTTATTACTCTGAGCGATCTCATATCTGACACTAAGAGGCTTTTTCCACAGTGGAAAAAGTGTCAGCGGCTACAATCAAAGCCAACACGACTAGGGAAAGTGGTGTCATTTCATAGCCCCTTTGAAGTTGTTTGTGATGAGTGACATCTGTGCACCAACCTCATTGTTTAAAGCAAGCACTCGGACCGGTTTCTGTTGCTGGGTTGAAAGTATGTTACCTGTTTAATGTAGTTGCTGGCCTTAGCTCTGCGGGACATAGATGGAATGGCATCTCACTGTGGAATAACACTGAATGATGCCTATCACTGTATGTTATGTTGCAAAGATAGTCTACCTTTAAGGCATATTCAGTGCTCGAATGCGCTCTCCTTAGTACACTCCTTTACATGATGTATTTTACGCTTATTCTGCATTGTGCATTATCATTGGGGTGAAAGCAGGGACAGGTACTGAGTTGGATAATCAGCCATGATGTGTTGAATGGGGAAGTAGGCTTGAAAGCCAAACGGCTGCCTCCTAGTATCTACTTTCTTCTACCCACACTGTGCTTTACACAGTGTCATGATCTTATTCCGTGTGACATCATAGAATCTCCATGATCTGTTATAACTTACCCGTCTTTACCAAAAGCATATTCTTTGATTCACAATGAACATTAACATCGGGAGGGCTACTATATTTATTTGAGTGATGATTTTGACTAGAACATTAATTGTGTGAAATATGTGGAATCCTAGGTATGGTGCTGATGCCAAGGTGGCCCACTTTCTTGGTAAAATTAAACCTTGGAACTACTCCTACGACCCAACGACGAGATGTGTGATACGAGATAGCGACGATTATTCCACCATTATTTACCCTGAATTCCTCAACGTTTGGTGGGACACCTTCACAACATCTGTCTTACCATTGCTTACAGAGTACGGTATCTCAAAGGAGACCAGTTCTGGCACGCAAGAGGTACGTTGCCCCGAGAAATGTAGACTTAAGCATGCTGAAACGCTGACAGGCACGTTGGAAGGGACATTTTTTTTGACATGTTGGAGATCAACTAACATGTAGACAAGCGGCTATAAAAACGAAATTGGCCCCATTTAACGATGTGATTTGTAGATATCTTCCGGAAATCTGCTAAATAATTTTTGAAATGAATAGATTTATTAAATAAATGCACATATTTGTCTTCTACTGTACGCTAATGGTCTTGTTCAGAGGATCCCAAATTTTCCTCATTGCGTACTGCTTTTCCACAGCTACCAGTGGACCATCTAGTTCCACCAGGGTATTTTACCCCCTTGCTGGGTGTCCAGACAACCCTCACCAACACCATCTATTTCTACCAGTGTAGCATCGCCACCCCTGCTAATGAAACGTTTTTTTTCCCATTTTTTGTTACCTCCAAGACTTGTCACAATGTCACAAGCTCCAATCTGTCCAAGACATGGTAACCTGTATCCTATTCAGATCACCTCTCATTCATCCATCATTGACATACTCTAGCCTCTGTCCTACATTGTCTTCAATATAAACTACTCATCGAATTCTTTGTGGCCTTTCTGCACCTTTTCTCTACAACACCCTCAGTCTTAAATGACACCCTCAGTTATCCTGCACTCCATGGCGTCTTTTTTTCTCTCCAGATGGTTCCCATTTTACTTCACCAGCTGTTGATAGAATCATAGAATCCCCTACAGTATGGAACCAGACCATTCGGCCCAACAAGTTCACATCGACCTTCTGAAGAGTATCCCACCCAGATCACCCTAACCCTGTAACCCTGCATTTCCCATGGCTAACCCACCTAGCCTGTACATCCCTGGACACTATGGACAACTTAGCCTGGCCAAACCACCTAACCTGCACACTTTGGGACTAATGTTATGATAGTTTCTCTACAATCTCCCTGAACTACTTCTGCATGTCCACCAGTCTCCTCTTCTTTAGAAGTGTTTCCAAAAACCATCATTTTGGCCAGATTTTGATCAGCCCATATTAAACTCTCCCTCCACAACTCACTGTCACCTTTCCTTTGTGAATGGAACACCATTGGAGTGTTTTTCTTTGTTAGGTTTTGTGTGTTTGCAATCTTCCTGTTTGAATTTGCAATTCAGATTATTGAGTTGGCTGCGCACAGAAATCTGTTGAATTACTTTTCCATCACGATAAATTCATGCATACAGTTATAGAAAAAGGAAATGGCACATTAAGTCAATGATGTACGGAATGATATTTTCTGATTCTGTGACATCAAAAGTTAATGTTTTGAAAAAGGTATTGAACCTTTGAAATTAGAATTCCTACAGTGTGGAAGCAGGCCATTTGGCTCATCAAGTCCACACTGACAATCTGAAGAGCGACCCACCCCACACCCTATCCCAGTAACCCTGCAACCCTGCATTTCCCATGGTTGATCCACCTAGCCTGCATATCCCTGGACACTATGGGCAATTTATTCTGGCCAAACTACCTAAACTGCACATCATTGGGCTGTGGGAGGAAACCAGAGCACCCGGAAGAAACCCACGCAGACACGGGGAGAATGTGCAAACTCCACACAGACAGTCGCCCGAGGGTGGAATCTAACCGGCGCTGTGAGGCAGCAGTGCTAACCACTGAGCCACCGTGCCACCCCTTGGACACTATGGGCTAAATTGGTGGTGTTCTTTTCCTGTATCACATGGCACCAGAAACCCTCCCAGCCTGACCAGCGCCTCCCAGTGTCCTTACGTTGATCAGCAGCACTGGAATCTTGAAGGAAGCAGGCTCAGAATTGTTATGGCAAAGAAGGAGGCCATTCAGTCCATCATAACTACTCTAGTTCTATCCCTGAATACCAATCTCCTGCCTTCCCCTCCCCCCACACGCTTGCACACCATTTCAATCCAAATAAACTTCAAATACCCTCTTGAATACCTCAATTGGACCCGCCTCCAACACATTTCCATGCAGTGCACTCCAAACCCTAACCACTCACTGTGTGAAAATATATTTGTGTCGCATCACATTTGCTTCTTTCGCACATCCCTTTAAGTCTATGCCCTCTCATTCTTTTGTTTTTTTACAATTGAGAACAGCTCCTCTCTATCTACTCTGTCCAGCCCACTCATAATTTTGAAAACCTCTATCAACCTCTATGCAGCCTTCTGGGCTAATGGGATAATGGGCTAAAAACGAGGGGTAAAAAATTGATACATCACCTGACAGTTTCTCTTAGATAGGGCTCTCGTGTTGCAGTGGTAATGTCCCTACCTCTGGGCCAAGAAGCCTGCTCAAGTCCCACCTGCTCCAGAGAGTGTGTTACTGCATCTCTGAACAGGTTGTTTAGGAAAATATCAAGACAATTTCTCTTCCAACGTACTCCCAAGGGGCGTGTGTACATTAGTTTAGGAAGCAGTGCCCTTAGTTGAATAAATTACTCCCAAAGTCTGGGTAGGAATTAAATCATCGTTTAATTTATTTATTGTAAGCTTTCAAAGTGATGATTGAGGACTCAGCTCTCACTTTGTTGATCATTCGGGACAACGAAAAAGAAATGACGAGCCCAGTTTCTGCCTGCTGCTTGATCTCTGCTCTGTGTCACACAGATATGTGTCTCCTTCAACTAAGTTAACAATACAAAAGGGCACACTGCAGTCTTAGCTCGGGCAAACCATGCCAGCCCTAGATATTTGCTTCATCGGGCAAATTGAAACAACGTCTCCCACAACCCTCTTTTGTGGGGAGAAAAAAAACACAATTGGGACAAATTTCAGTATCGGTAAAACTGGTGGCCAGAGTTGAAATTTGAAGTTGGGTGAGGGGGAGCGGTGGTGGGGGGAGGTGGGGGAGTGTGTGTGTGCGGGGCCATGAGTGGGATATCACCCCTTTGAAGCTGAAAGGCCACCTGATAACAATATTCGGGCAAGCCTGTAAAAGCAAAAGCAGCCAAGGCACCTGATAGAGGAATAAGACAGCTCTAAAAGCTGCGAATCTGTAGCTGGATGGCGTTCTCTGATTGAAATTCAAGTGCAAATAAGTGGAACTTGCACCAAGTATGCTTCACCTGGGTGGACCAGGCCTTAGGCCACTAGTGGTCTTTAAAGGGTCTACTGGAGGCTGCTCACAATACGAAAACCCTGAAGAAATATGTAACTTTCTTCTTTTTGGTCTAGAAGTCAGGGTGCCCCTTTGATACCTTGAGAAAAAGTCTGAGGTGCTGCCGACGCGATTGTGTACCCACCCTCCCCTCGCATCGCCTTCCAGCACAACCCACTCTGCCCCACCCCCCACCCCCTCACCCACTTCCTCCAGTCCTGACCAAATAAGAGACAGAGGATGCATGCTGCCTTCCTCAAGAAATGGGAACGCTCCTTCAGCGCTTGCGCCCAAGCAGCGTGGTTCAATGTCGCCCGATGAAAAGTCATTTTCTCGACCCTGTCCTACCAGGAAAATTCAGACCTCCAGCTCTGGGCAGCTTCCTCAACATTCGGCTGTTGCGTCTGAGTTAAATTCCCAGTTTGTTAGATCTCTGGAAGGCGGTCGAGATGAGAAGCCATTATTGTATGCAGTAAACTGATGTGTGAAAGTTCCCACATTGACTTTTTTTCTCTGTCTTCACAAATATGTCTGGCAACCTTACAGCTGTCATGCTTGGTCTATGCACTGGCTTTCACTTGTGGCTTGTCATTCTGTAGGAAGGTATGCTAAACTTCAAAGGTCCCTGTCCCTACAATCAGTTCTCATTCAACTTTTTGTTCCTCTTGGTTAATTAACATTTTTATCAGGGGGAAATCTTTGCTAACTCAATAGTATTGACGTGAGTGCCGTTTTAAGATTGTGTGAGCGCAGTACGTGACTTCTTAGTTAAAAGGTGATGGGTCAGCTCCAGACATGTGCATGGGAGATTTTTCTATTTGCATTTTGTTTATTGCTTAATAACAATCAGTACAAAAATAGACTGCTGATCAGATAAAGAAAGAAGCATTAATTAGCTGATGCGTCTTCATGTTATATAATTCAACATTGCAGTCACAATTAAAATAATGTACAGAGAAGTTCCATTGTGCCTTTACAGTGGTTTAAAAGCTTACAGTTTGACCTTTCTGTTTTAAAAATTTACAGGAGGATAAGTTGAGTGAAGCTGTCTCCCAGCTTTCATTCACTCAGCCTGATCCAGTGGAATCCTCAGAAGAGCGCAGGAAGAAGTGGGAACAGGGTCAAGTTGATTACATGGGAGTAGATTCCTTCCAGAACATTCAAAAGAAGCTGGATGCTTACTTGAACTAACAGCAGGTGACTGAAATCCCCACATGGCTACCAGCGAGGACTGAATACAGAAGGTCTATAGCATCTAGGCTGGAGTTCAGTGCATGGCTGGTTTGTACGTAAGCTGTTAGTGGTATGGTTTGAAAGGGGTGTTGCTATCAGGCTGTCACCTCAGCAATGAGTGTCTGTAGTAAGAATATGGCAAAGGCCAGTGAACATCATCTTTCAAAGACCTGAAGTAAATCTCTTCCCAGTATTCAATACTTTGCACATTGACATACTGCCTACTACTGTAATGTTCCTCCAGAAGGCTTTTTGCTTAACTTAGTAAAACAGACTTAATTAAACTTTTGAACTGTGTTATAGACACTGAGTTGAACAGTGCTCGCAGTATTTTACATATGTTTTAAGTAGCTTCACATGCATGAAGGCCAATAAACTACTGCCTCCCCCCAACACCAGCACCCATGGCTTTACAAAGGAAACATTGCACTCCTTTTCCACTGAGAAAAAAAAAAGTAATTTCTGTCTTTGATTGAATATCTGGGCACTGTACCTAACCTGTACCTTAAAACAATGGTACATAGAACAGAAGACTTTTTCCACCTATTATGGTATTTGTGTTGTGATTAACCTGCTGACCATCAATTTCTGTGTCTCATAGCACTTTATCCATGAAAATAAACTTACTGGTTTGAAATTGTTGAATTTATTTGTTTAATACGTCGTCTTGTGGGTTTAATTATCTCGCAGTCCCAACTGTACTACATAAAATTTCAGATCCACATCAGCAAAGCTTAAAAGCTGCAGGAGACGATGGTCTAGTGGTATTATCGCTGGACTGTCAATCCAAGGACCTAGATAATGTTCTGGGAACCCGAGTTCAAATCCCGCCACGGCAGATGGTGGAATTTGAATTCAGTAAATATCGAATTAACAATCTAATGATGACTGTGAATCCATTGCCAATTGTCAGGAAAAACCCATCAGATTCACTAATGTCCCTTTAGGGAAGGAAACTGCCATCCTTACCTGGTCTGGCCTACATGTGACTCCAGACCCACAGCAATGTGGTTGACTCTTACCTGCCTTCTGGGGCAATTAGGGATGGACAATAAATGCTGGCTTTGCCTGCGACGCCTTCATCCCATGAATGAATAAAGGAGAATGGATGTAAAAACCAAAGGCTTGCATTTGTATACCACCTTTCATGATCTCAGGACTAATGCCCTTAGGGTCATACAGAATGGAAACAGGCCCTTCAGCCCACCATGCCTAACAACAAATACAAATCTACACTAATTCTATTTATCTGCACTTGTTCTGTAGACTACTGTGCCCTGGGATTTTAAGTGCTTATGTTAAATTGCGAGAATACTTGTCTCCACCCTCTCTGGCAGCACTTTCTATACATCTGTCATCCTCTATGTGAAAAAATCTTCCCTCAGATCCCCTCCAAATCACCTACTCCTCACCTTAAACTTATGCCCTTTGGTCTTAGACACATCTGCCATGGGGAAAAGGTTCTCACAATCCACTCTGTCAATGCCTCTCATAATTTTGTATACCTCAATAAGGTTCCATCTCAGCCTCCTCTGCTCCAAGGAGACCAAACTCAGCCTATCCAGTCTCTCCTCAGCAGCTTCAATCTATTCTCATCACTGAAGTTTCTCATTCCTGGAACCATTCCTGTGATTCACTTCTGCGCTCTCTTTGATGCATTCACATCTTTCGTACAGTGGGTGGCTGAGTGGTTAGCGCTGCCGCCTCACAGTACCAGTCATCTGCGTTCAGCCCCAGCCTTGGGCAACTGTCTGTGTGGAGTTTGCACATTCTCCCTGTGTGGGTTTCTTTTGGGTGCTCCGGTTTCCTCCCACAGTACAAAGACATGCAGGTTAGGTGAACTGGCCATGCTAAATTGCCTATAGTTTCCAGGGTAGGTGGATTAGCCATGGGAAATGCAGGGTTACAGGGATAGAGGGTAGAGGGTAAGTCTGGGTGGGATGTCTTTCAGAGGGTTAGTAAGGACTCAAATGGGCCAAATGGCCTGCTTTCACACTGTAGGGATTCTATGTGGTGTCCACAGTTGTACACAATACTCCAGCTCAAATCTGCGGAGTATCTTTTACAAGTTCATTATCACCTCCTTACACTTGTATTCTACGCACCTATTAATAAAGCTGGGAACACTGTATGCTCTACTAACTGCTCTCTGACCCTATCATTGCCTCCTTCAATGATCTGTGCACAAATAAACATCCAGGTCCGTTTGCTCCTGCACCCCATTTAGAATGGTACCCCTATTTCATATTGGCTCTCAATGTTCTTCTGACCAAACTTCACACTTCTCTGCATTGAACCTCATCTGCGATCTATCGGCCCACCTCACCAACTTGTCAATGTCTCTTTGAAGTTTCACACTATCCTCTTCACAGTTCAAGTAAGGTTAGCAGATTGCCTTCCCCAGTCTGGCCTATATGTGATTCCAGACCCACAGCCATGTGGTTGATGCTTAACTGCCCTCTGCACAATTAGGGATGGGCAATAAATCACATCCCATGAATCAATCAATAAAGTCTCTACAGTATTGACCCCATGTTCCAATCATCACATTGAATAGCTTCCTCCTTCTTGACATAACCTTTTTGACCTTACTATGTTGTTTGCTCTTACATCAAAGAGTTACTGGTTTATGGTTCAAATCCCAAATAATTAATTAAGCTGGAATTGAAATTGAGTCTCAGTCATGGTGACCATGAAACTACCATCAATTTTCATAAAATAAACCACCTGGTTCACTGATGCCCCTTAGGGAAGGAAATCTGCCATCTTTGCCTGTGCTCGCCTACATGTGACCCCAGACCCACAACAAGTGGTTAACTCTTAACTGTGCTCTGAAATGGCCTAGCAAAACACTTGGTTCTATTCAGTTTTCTCAGAAATTAGGGACGGGCAACAAATGCTGGTCTGGCCAACGATGCCCACATCCCATGAAGGAATAAGTAACACAAAATTGAATTACTACCATATACCAATGAAGTTTCCTCAAAGTTTGGAAACGTAGAAATAGGAGTAGGCCATTCAGCCCCTTCAAGCCTGCACCACCATTCAAAATGATCATAGTTGATCATCTAACTCAATATTTTGTTCCCGTTTTCTCTCCTTTGATTCCTTTAGCCCTAAGAACCGTATCTAACTCTTTTTTGAAAGCATTCACTGTTTCGCCTTCAGTTGCTTTCTGTGGCAGAGAATTCCACAGGCTCACACTATCTGGCTGAAGAAATTTCAGTCCTAAGTTTGTACCTGCCCTACTTTACTCTCTGTGCTGCACATTAATAAAAACTTTCATTATGAAACTTAAATCCCATATAAGGTTGGAATCCTATTCAAAATGCTCAGGCCAGTATTCTAGTACTGCCTTCACATTCCTGAAATTTGAAATGCATCCTACCATATTAGTGCATGGCATGCACAGTGGCCAAATTTGATATGACATTTCAATTGTGCAGAGACAGTGACAGGATAGTAAAGTCACAGATCCTTAGGCTATACTATAGGAACGGGTGTTCAAATTCCACAATACCAACTGGTGAAACTCAAATTCAATTCATATTTCAATTCAATTCATTCAATTTAGGAAAATTAGGAAAAAAATTAAAGGGAAGGAGAACTCAAGAGCTGTGAGTAATGGAAGTAATAGGCCCAAAAAGAAGGTGCAAAAACTGGCAAAAGGCACTTTATCTGAATGCTCGGAGCATTCGAAACAAGGTGGATGAGTTGATGGTGCAAATGGGTATGATTTAGTGGCTATTACAGAGACATGGTTACAGGATGGTCATGACTGGGAGTTAAATATCCAGGGGTATCAAACTGTTTGGAAGGACAGACAGGAAGGTAAGGGAGGTGGTGTTGCTCTGATTTTTAAGGATGATATCAGGGCGGTAGTGAGAGATGATATAGGTTCTACAGAACAAAACATTGAATCTATTTGGGTGGAAATTAGGAATAGCAGGGAGAAGTCACTGATAGATGTGGTCTATAGGCCACCAAATAATGACATCATGGTGGGGCGGGCAATAAACATAGAAATAGCTAATGCATGTAAAAATGGTACAGCAATTATCATGGGGGATTTTAATCTACATATCGATGGGTCAAACCAGGTCGGTCATGGCAGCATTGAGGAGGGGTTCATGGAATGCATCCGCGATAATTTCCTTGAACAACATGTAATGGAACCTACGAGGGAGCAAGCTATCCTAGATCTAGTCCTGTGTAATGAGACAGGAATAATTAACGATCTCACAGTTAGGGATCCTCTCGGAAGGAGTGATCACAGTATGGTCGAATTTAAAATACAGATGGAGCGTGAGAAGGTTAAATCCAGTACCTATGTCCTGTGCTTAAACAAAGGAGACTATGAAGGAATGAGGGAGGAGTTAGCTAAGGTAGAATGGGAGCAGAAACTTTATGGTGGGTCAATTGAGGAACAGTGGAGGACTTTCAAAAGGATTTCTCACAGTGCTCAGCAGAAGTATATTCCAGTGATAAGGAAGAACTGTAGGAAAAGAGAGAGCCAGCCATGGATGTCTAAGGAAATAAAGGAAAGTATCAGATTGAAAAAAGCACATACAAAAAAGCAGAGAGTAGTGGGAAACTAGTAGACTGGGAAATCTTTAAAGGCCAACAGAAAGCCACAAAAAAAGTTATAAAGAAAAGTAAGATAGATTATGAGAGTAAACTAGCTCAGAATATTAAAAACAGGCAGCAAAAGTTTCTATAAATATGTAAATCGTAAAAGAGTGGCGAAGGTAAACATTGGTCCTTTAGAGGATGAGAAGGCCAATTTAGTAACTGGGAATGAGGAAATAGCCGAGACATTAAACAGTTATTTCGTGTCAGTTTTCACTGTGGAAGACACAAATAACATGCCGAAAACTAATGGCAAGAAGGTTATAGCAGGTGAGGACCTAGAAACTATCATTATCACTAAGGAGGCAGTGCTGGGCAAGCTAATGGGGCTAAAGGTAGACAAGTCTCCTGGCCCTGATGAAATGCATCCCAGGGTACTAAAAGAGGTGATGGGGGAAATAGCAAATGCACTAGCAATTATTTACCAAAATTCACTGGACTCTGGGGTGGTTCCCGCAGATTGGAAAACAGCCAATGTGACGCCACTGTTTAAAAAAGGAAGTAGACAAAAAGCAGGTAACTATAGGCCAGTTAGCTTAACTTCGGTTGTGGGGAAAATGCTTGAATCTATCATTAAGGAAGAACTAGCAAGACATCTGGATATAAATTGCCCAATTGGAAACACCCAGCATGGGTTCATAAAGGGTAGGGTCATGTTTAACTAATTTGGTGGAATTCTTTGAGGACATTACTTGCATGGTGGACAATGGGGAACCTGTGGATGTGGTGTATCTGGATTTCCAGAAGGCATTTGACAAGGCTGCTACAGAAGATAAAGTTGCACGGTATTACAGGTAATGTATTGGCATGGATAGAGGATTGGTTGACCAGTAGAAAGCAAAGAGTAGGGGTAAATGGGAGTTTTTCTGGTTGGCGGTCAGTGGCTTGTGGTGTGCCTCAGGGATCAGTGTTGGGACTGCAATTGTTTACAATTTACATAGATGATTTGGAGTTGGGGACTAAGTGTGGTGTGTCAAAATTTGTAGATGACACTAAGATAAGTGGTAG